AGGAAAAAGCCTCGCGCAGCTATAATAGCGGTCATAATTCAGAGTCTTGAGAGATCTAAACCGTTCCAAGTCCCAGAAATTCCGATTGAGCTATCGAGTTTTATCGACTGATAGATATATACCTAATTCAATTTTTATTAAACAAAAAAGGTCTAATGAGAGTTGTTTCGCGCAGTTGTTAGTGCGAAAATAAAAATCGTTTATTGTCGAAAAACTATAGTATAATTAATTACGCGTAAACATTTCGGCCTGTTTCCAAAACAAAAAGTGTGTTTTGAATGTTGACCGTCACAATATTCGGAGCGGTTGTAGTGAATGTATATCACTAAATATGAGTAATTTGCGGATCCTTTGTCTTTCGACTTTAATTGATTTTTTTATGTTATCTTTCATGGCTATATGGATTTTTGGACCTAATATTCGTTGCCACTGGAATTGTCAACCATTGCCAATAGAATAAGGAGATTGAGTTGCCACTCTGCCGTTTCGCCATGAAAAAGTGAGAACTTTACAACGTTCAGACATACTGATGACGGTCCGGAAGCAGGCCGAAACGTTTACGCGTAACTAATTATACTATAGTTTTTCGACAATAAACGATTTTTATTTTCGCACTAACAACCGCGCGCAAAAAAAAAACTCTCATTAGCTCTCATTTGTTTTTGTTTTTTGACATTCTCGAGAGTTTGGTTACTCGCTTTACTTCAATTTTTATTGCCTAATCCGCGGCTTAGTATTTCGTTCTTGGACTAATTGCGAATTCATTAAATCGCCGGTGGGCTCTTATGGCTTCTGTGAAAATTAAAATCCCGCCGGTCGCAGGAGAAATAAAAGCACGACGGACGGCGGCCATGGAGCCAGTGTTCCGGTTCCAGTCCGAGGCGAGGAAAGGAAGAAGAGAGGTTTCTTATATGCGAAAAAGGACCCGGGGTATGCTCCGGTAACCGGAGCAGATGTGTCCCGCAAAAGGCGGTTCCTGGAAGTAACCTCGAGAAGAGCCAGCCTCATTGGCGTAGTCAATTAAACCGGATCTCTCCGGGTCTCCTTCGAGGGGGCTCGTAGAGGATACCCGCTTCTCCTTTCTCTCTCTCCCTCTCTCTCTCTCTCTCTCT